AATGAAAACTATTCTAAAAAAATATTCGCAGGGTTTTCTCAATTTACATTATGGTGCTAGTTTTGTGGATTTATCACAAGAAACAAAAACAATGAAACCTTTGACGCCTTTCGATTTCAACTAAAAATTGTCTTACAACAAATACTTTTTGTGTTTCGACAACAGAGTGTGATGTTCCTATGGTCGTAAAGAATTCTGTCAAAAATCCTCTCGTTCAGGAAAGTGACTTACCGAAAATTGGCGGTTGTTTGTTAGGGCAAAGGTTGTGGAAAGTCAGGTCGAACATCGTTCCAAGCTTATCACTTAAAAGTGCCACAAAGGCTTCGTGGTCCCCTGCATCAATAAGACGATCAGAGAATACTCTGAAAAAAAATAATAATCACATAAGATAACGAAAACATACTCCGAATGCACGTTTATCGTGGATGCTGTTTTTGCTCCACTGATTTACTATGTGGATCAACTGAATACAAAGGAGAACAAGACAGTCCTCCTCTCAAACTAAAAACATCTTAGACAATGTATTTTGAACATTTTGCGACACACGTCTTGAAATGTTATAAATAACACAAAATATTTTTAATTCTGTCTACTCGAAACTTGTAAAGTTGACGCAAAACGACTGACCAAAGTGGCAAAGTACCATGAACTATGTAATGAAGTGTTTTAACTGACCCAGATCTTCATGAGTGAAAGCACGTAAAAACTTGCACAAGTCACCCCTTTCTCAATCATTTTATGATTATCAGAACCAAAAATTTTTTCACCTGAAGCACTCATGAACCCAGAGTCTGGACATTGCTGTCTTAGTGTCATGGAAGTCTTTGTTAGCGCGGAGTAAGCCTTGAAATACCTTTAGTAAAAAAAGAGAAAATATCACGTACGTATGCGAGATAAGGAAACGAAAACAAAGTTTAAAAAAAAACCTGAGCTTGAGACGAGAAAAAACGCGGTCAAATGTCAACGTTTTTAGAGCATTTCTAAATTATGTTCAAAGTTTCCCTGTTCTTGTATAAGCTTTCTTGTTTAATAAGTTTCCTATTGCATGCGTTAAGCCATCTCTAATATTCCAAGGTTTTGGCTTGCGTCATAATAAAACGATTAGCGCTCGCGCTTATGACGTCAGAATATTCAAAAGAGAAAAGCCCACGTGGATTTAACACAGCGGTCAAACGTTGCGCATGTGCCATAACTAGGTGGCGTGCTTTCAGGCATTCACAACCAAGTTGTCTCACACGAGTTACAAACAACCTTACAAACCAGTACTCACGGTGTTTATAATCATTTATAATTTTGCTCGGGAAATTGGCGCGCGGGCAGCCAAAATTATACCCTTGTGCATGCCCGATGTTTGTTTCACCGCTGAGTTGAGACAGTACTTTCTAGATTCCAGATACTTTAACCATAATTAGTAAATACCCTTGAAATGTCTCTTAGGTTAAAAAGGTAATGTATCTTGGTAGGAGTCGGAAGCATTCTGGCAACGATGGCGTTGTAGATATCAATGGTTGCCTAAAAAGAACACAAAAATGTAAACAATCTCAGTAATACTCCAATTTTTGTGGAATCATAAATAACCAAGCGCCAACCCAGTATAATTATGGGCGAAGTCAATCACCTGGGTCATGAGATCACCAAGAGCCTTGACGTCTTCTTCAAAGTCCTGCAGCTTCTGGTTGATCATGGTGCCAAAAATACGCTTGATTTGACTTTCCTGAAAACAGCGAGTAATAAGTGACAAACTGAACTGTTAAGATAATAACTCCTACACAAATCTTGCAGCCATGCCTGATACAGCGGAGTACTGACAGGTGAGCAAATCTATTCCTGTTTAAGAACACAACAGGCTATTTCCATAGATCCTGCGCAGAGCGCCGGGAACGACTACCAGGTTCATAGTTTTCTCATTAAACCCTAATTTAAGCTACTTTAGAAGGTGGCATACAATTGATGAGCGCAAAAACCCGCTATGGTGAGATAATTCCTATTATCATATAGCTGGTAGCGCCTGTGGGAAAGATGCATGGAGCGGACTTTCAAAGTTCGTAATTTCTGGACAATGCTGGAAATGGAATCACAAGAAGCGTCAAAAGACAGTCAAAACAAAGAAAACATAAACAAGCACACGCCATCACAGTTGGCTTTCTTTGCAAGCGCTCGAAAATAAACAAGTCATTCAAGATTCTTGTTGAAGCGAAATCTTTATGCGTTGTAATAAATCCTTTATTGACCGGGCCTGTTTGGTCAAGATGGCTGTATATTAACTTCGTTCTTCATTTGCGACTTCATGGACCTCGACTTCGTCTCGCGAAAAACAGAACTCGGCCAGTTCCAAGCCATCTTGACCTCACGGTTGGTCAATAACGCATATTTATCTACCTGAGGGAAAGTCATGTTGATCAGGTTAAACCTGCTCTGCAGTCTCTTGGAGATCACCATCCTGCCACCGCCCGGAGGACCCATGGAAGCCAACAAATGCATGCCCTGTTAAACAACAGTGAGAGGACGGATGTAAACGAGCTACAATGGTTTACAAGTAAATCTTTCTATTGAGCGCATCTCAATTGAGTGTCACATTACAAACACCAAAGTATACATAAAAGCCAGTCTGAACCAATGAAGATATCACAAGGTTCCGTCGATTAAGTCTAAGTAAAAAGAGCTCACAGCGTGGAAAAGCAACAACAATTCAACAATCGGCTAGGAGGATGGCGCAAGATTTCTAGACCAATATAAAAGCGGGGAAAAGAAAAAACAATGCAATGATTCTTTAGGAAGGTGGCGCGAGTATTATAAGTGGTGCAAGTTTTATAGACCAATCACACAGTGGGGAAAAGCAACAACAATGAAATACTGGACTGGACTTTCGACACTCAATCAAAACATTGCTTCGATCATATAGAGTGACAACGAAACACAGTGTGGTTCGGGTCTGCAATTTCGAATCACGACCAAAGAGGAAAATCGAAAAAGACACAGCTACAGTGAAACAAATGTGTTTTTGTATCTTGGCCTAGTTTGTCATTCATGCAACGGAGTATTACATTTCTAAGTAGAGAGTGCAATTATTACACTTACCTTTATGTACTTTACGGTCTGCTTAAGTCGATCATACCAAAAGCCATAATCTAACCACAGCCGGATAAGCTCAAGGGGTGGCTGCGAACCAAATGTGTCTTTAGCGGGCATGTTGAAGTCATCCATGAAGTTGATCAGCTGCTTGCCACCAACAGGCACGTAGACACCTTGATAAACACACAATAACATACAATGATTCGAAAATCGAAAAAAAATCTCAGAGAAAAGAAAAAGTCTCAGAGAAAAATGAACAAAGAGATGAGTCAGCAATTAAAACAAAATTAATGCCTGAACAACAACCGATCTGAAACTCCTCAAACTGAAATACATACTGTTAATTATTGTCTTGTAACCAAAAATAACCCTGACCCCCACCCCACCAAGCTCAAAGCGTCAATTTTTAAAAACCCCCCCTCCCATTCCCACACAACAAATTCGAAACGAAATTAAGCACACAGGAAACGCTGCTTTTTCAAATTAGAATTACTAAATATGAAATTCTCCTGGCATGCACCCCATTAAACATAAGGAAGAGTTGGGAGAATTTGGTTGATAAAAAATATGACATACCTTTGGTTCTTTTCTCAACTTTGCTCTCGATGATCTCTTGAACGTTGTTCGAGGAAGTCTAAGGAAAAGAATACAGTCAATGAAAACAACACCTCCACGGAAAAAGCCGCACTCTACTGGTCATTGTATGATCTCCAAGATACCCAAATAACAAGAGAATTCAAATGAAAACACGGTAAAACTAAGTATAGGTAACAATATGATTTCGAGTGCAATTTGGTGTTAATAAGCACGAGTAAATTTTTAAAGGCAACAAAATTACACGAGCCCGTAAGGCGAGAGCTATTTGTAATTTGCACTCGTGTCACAACTTTGCACTCATGTTACATGAAAAATGCACTCGTTTCCAGCCAATCAGACGCGAGTAATTTTTGCATGTATATTATTAATCCTGAAACTTAACTTTCAACTTAATCGTACACTGTACCTGTGCAGACATATTTATAACCAAAAGACTGTAGGTCTTGGGATCCAGTCTCTGTAACACTTTCTGTGCTAATGAAGTCTTTCCAGTTCCTACGGGTCCCGTTAGAAGGACAGGCCGCTTAGCCTGCAGTAAACTGTACACCAAGAAGTCGTACCGCACTGTGTCAACTGTCGGGACCATGATCTTATAAAATGGCATGCTAGGAAAATACATTAAAAAAAATGAATTAAGTTCAAAATGATGGCAGAATGGTTTCTTTTCAAACTTTAGTATTAAAGGCAGAGCAGACTTTTGATGTTGTTCAGTGAATGAAACGGACATACTCGGAGAAAAAGAACCCCGAGGTGCTCCCAATAGGAGTCCAACCTACGATCTTTAGCTAAGTACTTCGGAGGCTCCAATCGCTTAGCTATGGGAGACTCGTGGTAGGCAGTTACACTAATTTTACTCAAAGGAACCAAACATCATCTAATATCTGTGATGAACCGTCACTCTCAGAAGGAGTAGTGGGTATCTCCTAACTGAACAACAGCTTTATGTAAGCAGAGTAATGCGTTACATAGCAATAGTAAATGAATGAAATTGATTTCATCAAAATTTATGATTAGATTCCTCCGCGAGAAAGAAGAACCCTCTAAAATATGCCCCAGTCCCAAAGTGTGGCTTCGTAGCTCAGTTGTTAGTAGCGCCCGCCTAGTATTTGGGAGACGTGGGTTCCAAGTATATACAAGGATCGTTGCTTTACACAATTTTCACCCGCAAGTTAAATAAAATTTATTTCCTTAAAAAAAAATATGGAAAACAATACAAATGACTTTTCCACATACTTGGGCGTGTATCGCCAACCTGTCCTGAGTTTGTCCTCCCACAGAGCCCAAGCCTTCTGTTTCGTATCCACATGATACTCATACACTGTATCCTATAAAAAAAAAAACAGAGTGCATTACAGTCATTCAGTCTTCCACAAGGAGGTTTGTTATGAGCAAGGATGCAATATTTGCCAATATATAAACTTGGTGCATTGGTGCCAAGTGTGCCAATCATCAAACATATACAATTTCCATGCAACGATGTCTTCCTTCTTCCTTTCCTAACATTTTATCGTCAAAGTCTAAAGAAAAGAGGAATTTTCTTTTTCATGTTCTGAAATTTGCGAAGTGTTTTACGACAATACGGACCACAATTTATCGTTTTGCTTTTAATCTTTCCTCTCCCCCTCCCCCCCAATAATTTTTGTTGAATAAATAAGTTCTCCATCCTGTTCAAACTACATACCTTTGCGGGAAATTGACCTTCGATTTCTCGAAGGAAATTGTCCATTTTCTTTCTGCTGTCTTCGTCCACAGACGCGCAAATAGACCAAATCAATGAGAACAAGAACCACAGCTCGATCATGCGAGGGTAGCTGTCTTCATGTGGATGAACCTAAAAATAAGGAAAAAAGAAAAAGCATGAGCATGTAAATTAAAGTTTCGCGAGTTTCAAGTCCCGCCATCAATCACTGAGCAAAGTGAAGCAAAACAACACAACTTCCGACACCCGATTGAAAATTGCTAAAACTTGCGTCTTTGATTATCGGAGGTGATATGGATATTGAATTACTCAAATACTCAGGCTCCATGCCATGCAATATTTTAAATATGAGGATTATTTTATATCTTATGCGATTGTAAACAAGTAGCCATTGCAACTCGCAAAGCAAAGGTGTGATGTGACATGATTTCGAGGGACAGTAAACTCGGCGTGCACTAGCATTCGGGACAGGTTGCACTTTGTACAGTGGATACTTCGCTGAACTATACAATAGGTCATGACAGTAGCCAAGTGTGCTAGTGATAAGCTTATGTACCAATGTTGGTGAGGAAAGGGTCAGCTTCCTGTCTGTTAATTATAAATTTGTTCGTTAATAGTAAAAGTTACAATTTCCAACTGACATCATAATAATCTGACTCCGTCTCTGAGCTGGTATGAACTATGAATACTAACCCCGTTCTCCTCCGTGGCTAGTGCGTCAAACAAAACACACAATGACGCAACAGAGTTTAATTCGGAGGTGGGAACGAGTTCCTTGCAGTGGTGTCTTCGAAAATCCAACACTTTAGGAACAAACTTCTCAAACAACCTCTGAAGGTGCTCCACGGATTGCTGTTAAAAATAAAAATGAAAATAGTTTCTTGCGATAAAGTAACTGAAGATAACTACAAATTGGTCTTAGTCGAGCCTACAATTTTCGTTGGTATTTCGTTTATGGAACCACTGGTTTTGTTTGAGATGTAGAGGACCAAGGATAGAGTAATAAAGTCTCCCTGTACACAAAAGTATGAAGACAAACAAACAGTTAGCGAGTCTCAAGTACAAAAAACACGTACCTTATCCGTTCTCTTGTCCAGCCAGCAGTCAACGTAGGGCTGCCATCCAAGATCTTTGTAATCGGAAAAAACCATACCACATCGACTGACTGTGGCAGGAGATGCTACAGCAAGGTCTTCTACCTCGAATAGTAAGGAAACCTTAAAAACAAAAACAACCCATCAAAGAAAAATCAAAATCTCTTGACATGTATAATCTGCTATAATTATACAAAGATCTTCCCGTGTTTAGCAGTTTTTATGGAGTTTTTCTATGTAAAGACTATTAACGTCCAATACACTTCATAAAATATTCATGGTTGTCATCAAGGGCTACGAAAAGCGTGCAGATTGATTTGCGAAGGGTTTCAGCTCTGCATTAGATTGGCTGAAGAAAGTGCGGTGTCAAGTAATCACAACGGCTAACGATAGCTGAGAAATATGTTGGTAAGAATAATTAAAAAACTCACAAGAAATACGACTATTTTTGGTTTAGCATCTGATTAGTTAAAGGAGTGGCGCAAGTTTTCAGGACCCATTACACAGAGGCGAGGGGAAGTAAAACTAATGCAATCCTAGACTTCTCTCGACTCTCCGCTGAAAATTACTCTAAGTTTTCCAGAGTGCACACACAGAAAGACCTACTCGAATTGGCAAGGCATCTAACCTGATCAGGCATGGCTATACGTTCACCATTAATAAGAGTAAGCACTTTGTTGTCGTCCATAACAGAATTCATGGACTCAATCCACAACGTATCCACGGGAGCGTCGAACAGAATCCACTTTTCATCTGGCCTCTCATCTGAAAACACAAAATGCGAGAAGAGAATTCAAAACCATTCTTATTCTTTCTTGGCTTATTACGACTCTTTTGCGAGTGTCCCTTTTTATGTCTTTGAACTTATGCAACGAAGATTTAAAGATCACTTAAGAAAAAAATGGGTTCCTAGGAGGTGATACTTTTTTTGCCTGTTCCGGTAGAAATAATAGTAAAATTCGTTTGCCCCGCTCTACGTTTTTAGCGCATTTCTAAATTATGTTTTAAGTTTCCTTGCTCCTAAATAAGCTTTCTTGTAGAACAATCTTCGGCATTTTGCATGCGTCAAATTGTTTCCAATAACCGAAGAGTGTTGGCTTGCGTCATAATCAAACGATTCACGCTCGCGCATATGACGTCAGAAAATTCAAAAGAAAAAAGCCCACGTGGATTGAACACAGGAGTCAAACGTCTGCGCATGGGTAAACGCTGTAATAACTAGGTGACGTGTTTTTAGGCTTTCACAATCAAGTTGTTGCGCACGAGTTACAAACAACGACACAAGCAAGTAACTTACGGTATTCTAGAAGCGCACAACTTCTATGTTAAAGCTCAAAACAAAATGGTAAATCAACAGGATGCCCGTCCTTGAATAAGATTTGTGTTCGAAAAGTCTGCAGTTTTCCTTTTCCCTAGTTTTGATTCCTTTTGCAGATTTCTACGAACGAATCAATTCTCTTTCGCTTATTTTGCAAGACAGTGATTTACGATGGTAGAAGAGAAACACTGAGAGAAAATACATTAAAGAAAAGAAAGCTTTGTTGTTCGTGTAAAACAATTGGGAGGTGACAGCCAATACTTACCCGAGCACGTGAGTCTCATCACACTGGAGAGTACTCCGTCGGTCCACTCGTTAGTGTTGAGATCAAACTCTCCGTAAAGTTCACCAAGGGACAAGGCTTTGGGATTAATGGGAAATTCCTGAAGAATTAAAAAATGTGTAAGTTTGAATGAAAACGAAAAAAAGAGATAACTATTGAAAGGCATTCTACCATAAAGTATAACCTTTCGATGCACTGTTTTAGTAAATAATAATGAGACATATCATCCACACTCGAAGATATCCACGCGTGGCCATTTTATACCCTTTATATGTCGTGAATCCACTGTACACAACGATAAATAAGGTTAACTAACCCTGACAATGCTAAAGTTGGAGTCACCATCTCTCTTCAATCGTGTCATAGCTGCTTGCAAAATCTTCCAACAAACACTTTTTCCCGAGCCTGTCTGGCCGACTAACATGGTAGAATGTCTTAAAGAGGAAAAAAAAATCCGTGTTACATGCTAAAAAAAACTAATTAACTAAAAACTAACAGTGAAAAAGCAGGCCCTAAATTTGTATTCACTTCTTTAAAATTCTGTAACGTTAGCACTAATGCAGTATCGTACAGATCAGAAGCTTCAATGTAACGTCAGAATATTTAAACCCTGAACTAACTATAAAGATGATCATGTTTGCCAAGAAAGAAAACTAACATGTACATGGTGATAGGTCCACAAAAGCAAGGTAAGGTAAAAATGAAGTAGACTCTGTATGCAGATTCAGGGGTTCCAAAAAAGCTAAAAGTTAGTGAAACCCCTGAGATTGCGAACGAGAAATTTAACACGGAAACAAGCCAGCTACGTCAAGTAGTGATAACAGTGGTCTATTCACTGCATGCAACACACCTGGAGTTCTTTGTCTCGTATAGCTGAATCACCTTCAGAATGGTTGACGGGTGTGGTTTAAGGCCTGCCTCTTTGACATCTTTTTCAATAGCAGTGCGTAACTGGGTAATAATTGAAAATTCAACGAGTTATTATCAACAACTTTCGTCACCTGTAGATGATAAGTTATTACGAAAAAAAAAAGGAAAGGTTGGGTTTAAGACTTTTACAACGAGTTACCTTGCCATAGTCAATCGTGGGCGTCTCGACTCCAGGAAACAGATCAGACACGATTCCATTGAACAGAGGCAGATCCTGTGACGTCAGTTTGGCTACATTCATGTCCTTCATGGACAGAAGGAGAATCTGATGAAAGTCAAAACAGCGATAAGTGAAAAATGAATTTTTTTTTCCGCGGGGTTGTCACCAAAGGGCAGGTAGTCCAGAAGTTAATTTGAGAATCTAAGTGGCTCGGATGTTCAAAAGGCGCAAGCGATAATCCAGGGTTAAAATTTTAACTTGTTTTTAATTCCCCTTGAAATAAAGCATATAATAGGGCTTACGTTTAGAGGGGTTTTACTTAAGCGTTAGACGAAACTGAAGAGAAAATGTAAATGATTAAAACTCTTTGAAAGGCTTCAAAATTACGCCAAAAATTGTTAGTTAACACTCGGTTGGCTTAATCGTGCTTTGAACAACGTAGCCCGGCTGAAGTATTGTCAGTTCATAGATTTTCTCAATTTTCATTCTAATAAAATTCCACCAGTTTTCACCTACGGTTTCATTGCTTTGCTGCCATTCTGCCTAAACAAAGAATTGGCAAAGAGGAAAAATGGAAAATGCAGGGATAAGTGTAGCAGGAGAAGGGTGCAGATGAAAAGGGACTGGTGACGGGATAGAAGTGGTGGCAACCTGGTGAGTCACGAAGAGGTATGTTACGACCGTACTACATCCCCGACGAGGCGGTTAAACGTAAAGAACTTGCACCGGGATCAATTTTTACTGGCCGTGCGCCCATTTTCTGCGCAAAATTTCAAAGGAAAACATAAGAAACAAATGTTTGACCATCATGTTACCAACCACGAAAAGCCGGAGAATATGTTAGTCTCTACAAAGAACTACAATATTATCCTTCACTGCAGCACCTTCAAAACGTGTGCTCTGAATAGCAAATATCTAGTTACCTCTTCATCAGACATGTCAGGGTTCGCTCTCTTCTTTTTACCAGCATATCTCAACACGGATGTCAGAGCCCTCAGACCAAAGTCATAATGATCTTGTTTGGACAGCTGCTGTACCGCCAAGGAATAGAGCGTGTGAACCTTCCTAGCAAGCACCTGTTAAAAAGGAAAATTGATAAATTTCCTCTGCATCCTTTTTTCAAGACCGAGACAAAATATAATTGGTGGCTTTTGTACCACAAACTTCATTTTTGACTCGGTGTTTTACATAAACTTTAATCTTCATTTAATCTTCCCTTGAATCTAATTTTTCCACCCAAACTCATATAACCCAACATAAATCGAAAGAAAAAAAACTCTCGGACGAAAGCAGACCCAAAAGAGTATTGCTTGGAAAAACGTGTTTTTGAGATAAGGATAATCTGCCAGGCGTAATAGTTCTACAAAGTAAACAGAACGCAATCCTATGTTCTTTTATCACTTTTTTTCGTTCGAACACGAAACTGTTAGCTGAAGCGTCAGGCGTATCTTCAGCGAGTGACTCTAGAAAAAAGAAACGAGCCTATTTACGCTGAACGCAATTAACAAGCTAAATTGAGGGTTCTTTTTGAAAAGAAATATCTTCAATGCCATAAAACTGACCTTTGTGTTGTTAAAACCCTCAGCAAACAGGATAATTTCTGCAATCATGGCTGAATCCGGTACGACCATTGATATTGGTCTGAACATACTTTTCAAGTTGTCTGGAAGCTCAGTTCGACCAGCATAGCCTGTATGAGCAAAAACAAATACATTCGTCTCCTCTTCGCTTTCTGTAGCCGAAAAACGAGTCTACACAATCTCGCCATAAACAGAAACCCAAAAGTCAAATTTTGGAGACCGAATCACCATGAAAATGCCAAAGAAAGGCGTTAGAATGTACCGAGCAAAGGCATGAAAGTCACAGAGATATCATAGTGGATGAAGATTCTAGCGTTATAGGAGAAATTTTATTTTACCAGGATTCATAGTGATGAAGATTCCACACGACCAGACCAGGTTAATCTCACGTCCCTCAAACACAAATCGTGTAGCACCAGCCGACAGAGCAGACAGAATGGACAGAATCTGCTGCGCCACTACAGACAATACTTCAATGTTGATGCGGTTGAACTCGTCAAAGCAGCCCCATGCTCCAGTCTACATACGAAATATAAAGGTGAAGTTGGTTACAAATTAATTAAATCTGGCAGTTTAGTAGTTTGCCTCATTTGACCAAATGTTAATGAATGGCAAAGGCATTTGGAACGCAGGCTCGACTTCACGCAACGTCGCTTAGTTACGAGGTTTTTCGATATCAGAAGCGCGTCCTTATCCAACTTATAAAACCGTACCTGAGCCAGTCCACTGTACATGCGCCCCATTGACTTGTAGTCCAGACCCTCTGAACAATTGACGACGATGACGTAATTTCCAAGAGCTTTTCCAAGATCCTTGACGGTCTCGGTCTTGCCTGTACCCGCAGGGCCCTTGGGACTACCACCACGGTGAAGATGGAGAGCTGTTGTCAGAGTCATATAACATCTGTAGGGAGTTAAAAGACGCAAAGTTGAAACAAGCTAACTGTCTGAAGTTCGGAAAAGCACGAGTTACTACGAAGCAATTGGTTCTCGCGCTGAATCTGATTGGCTTAGAGGATGGCACGAGTTTTCTAGAGCAACCACAGGGCACTTGAAAATTGTTCTATCATTAGAGCACAGGCTTTAAGAGGGATTAATTAAGTCTTTCACGTTGTTCCTTTCTCGCTGTAGCGCTACAAATACTCTGTTCTTCTTTAATCTAACCTGTCCGTGAGGGGTGTGATCACAAGCCGTCCAGAATTTCCCAAATATTCATAACCATATTGAAATTGAGTGTTCGTTTGCCGCACAACGCAGTCATCAATGTCCTAAATCGGAAAACAAAACAGAAATGAAATATTAAATTTAAAGTAGTGACGGCCTGCATAGTCGCCCAGTCAATGAATCATTGCCGTCATTTCTTTGTGTCTGGCGTTTGGGACCTTTCAAACTCTTTATTTACAGCTACATTTTGTGAGTAACTGAATACATTTATTACATCTTAATTAAAGGAACTTGAACTCCAGGAAAATTTTTTTTTTTTTAACGATGGACAGAAGCTGGTGTTATATAGAGAGCTTCTGACTCTGTCAAAGTTACAAAGACCACAAGGAAAATCAGTTAGAAATGAAACAGTCGGTGTCATATAGTTTCTTACAAACCTTGTCCCAATACAGCCTCAGCTGACTGAGCCACTCAAAGGCCGTCACGTCACCACACCCTGATTTGATCATCTTCTCAATCACATCCCTGGCATGAACCTCAATTGTGACGAGAGCAACAATCTTCTGCCGCTGGATCTTTGTCAAATTGCCACGAATCATCTCAGAGAATTTGTTCAGCATAGAGATCTGTGAGAAAAGGTTGATGTCAGTCATGATTCGGATAAATCCGGGGTTGGGGGAGGAAGTGGGATGCAAGTGATTAAGAATGTGACGAATAAATGTCGCTAGTATTTTCCTGACGACGCCGAGGCCTACGATTGTTGTCGTTGTCCTTAATCGATAGGACTTTGACATCTGATCTTTCGGAGATGTCATTGGAAAAGCGGCATATTCTCCTCGATTGCATTGCATTTCGACTGAGTGATAAAAACCGAAGTAATCACAAAGAAAAAAAAAGGAGAATAAAAGTAAACACAAACAAACAGTTTGAAGCACGGAAGACGCAATAAAGGAACTCGAAATAACAATACGAAATTCTCACCTGCTTCTTTTTCAAACTCTTCAAAGCTTTCTTGTCTCCTCTTTCTTTAGTGCTGGCCAACGCTTTCGTGCAATCACTTGTCCATTGCATCTGACTTGAAGTTATGGTCAACTGTGACAAATTTAAAAGGAACCTCATTATCAATGTTCGAAACATTTCTTTCACGTTCATGGGAGGGAGAGGAATTACGAGATTAAGCTGCCTTCCCTGAGACTTGAACACAATAAGGCACTGTGTCTCTTTGATCCTACTGTTCTTACATGTAAATATATAAAAGCGTCAACAAATCTGTAATCAACGTACTTGCAACAAGATCTATTTACCTGCCCTGCCCATTCTTTCACCCATTTGTCACGCTTACTGGTGTTCTTCTTCAAGGCGAGCCTGCACTGCTTCAGCAGTTCCTTTAGAGTCCAGCGCATGCTTCGTTCCACGTCGCACAGCCACGCCTGAAAAGGACGAAGCAAACATCAAATAAATAATTAAAGACTTGAACCCCGCCAGTTTTATATGTATAAGAAAATACACCGCTGTTCCCTCTAGATTAAGGGGTACCCTCCCGTGATTTTGTCCGTATCTTAATGCTGCACTCCATAATAAAGGTGACGTAGACCAAGTGCATCCTAATGATTCAAAATGTTGCTTTATGCGGGTCAACAAAAACTGACTACCAGTCTTTAATCTTGCTGGTAAAAGCTGGACACTAACACCTCGAAGCTTCAACACCATGCTAGTGGCATGTGTGTAGAGAAAATATGGATCTTTCAATACCAAACAACATCTTGTACGACCATGTAGTAGACCAAGTCAACAAGTACTCTTTGGCAGTTTTTCCTTGAAAAAGCTTTCCTTAGCAGTATTAATGAAAAAAAACCATTATGAAAAACTTCTTCCTTGATGGGTGACTTATCAAGGAACAAAAAAAATGCACAGGATGAATGTATCTATGTAGATGACCTGAAATGCTCAGCGCCATCTTCAGCAAGGTTTCCCTGAAAAGTGACACCCTTGTGAATAGCGAAAAATGTCCCGTAATGGGTGAAATTATCTGAGTTGCTGCAAGTATAAGTTCGGTTCACACCTCAACTGGTCCTTCCAGCAGAACAGAATGTCCAAACTCCACAAATTCACCTTCTGCAGAGAACATTCCAACTGCCTCTGTCTTCTGTGTGATACCCATCTGTTGAAGCAATCACGCAAACAAAGTCAAGAGGGTCACAAAGCGGCTCACCATGGTTCTTTCAATCAATCGGCCTCGATCGTAAATAATAACAAAAAACAAGATCTCAATTCGTTTTTTTTCACCTTTGCCATCTTTAGTTGCTTGATGTTGTCGAAACATTTTTTCAAGTGAGGTTGAACCTGCAAAATAAAATGGAAGATTGTGAAATGCAAATTAGGGCAAGCACAATAAATCGACTCAGTTTATGTCTCAACAATGCTACTCACAGCTTCAGGGTTTTTAGACTGTCCCAGTATCTCCAGAAGATCGTCATTAGACAAGAAATAGAAGCGAGGGAAAATCTGCCTTTTCGTCTCCAAGTACATATCCAGTGACTTCTGAATCTCTTCTAGTTTCAGATTCATGTCGTTTAGTGTATCGAGCAAGCCTGTAAAATAAATGAAAACCTTTAATGAGAAACAAAGCGAAGGTTAGTCGGCATGAAGCCAAGAGCCTCACAATATTCGACGTTCTTTGAAATGAGTCGGGTAGAAAAGTTTATTTTGGAAACAGTGCACTTTACCTGGATGGTGAGTGCCTCTCAACGCATTGTTATCCTTGTTCAGTCTTTGCATGATCACCTTTTTGAAAAAGAAAAAAATATCAAGACTTCTCTCAACTGGCAGGCATTCGTAACACTTATAACCAAAGAAGTGGGGTCACAGTTACGAACTAAATTGCCGCGCGCCTGCACGTGAATTAGCTTATACCGTTGCTCTACCTTTCGTATCAGCGGGCTCGTATTCAGACGGCGAAAAAAACAGCTAATGGAGAATCTAGCATTGAAATATC